CTAGTCGCCCTGACTGTGAAGTAGTGCCTCTTGATGTCTAGCCTGAACCTACTCTCTATCAACTTATGGCTGTTATTCCTTGTTACTCCCAATACTGCTCAGGGGAATAGGGACTCTCCCATTGCCTGCTGGTCCCCCTTGGCCAGTTTATAGACAGTCAACAGATCCCCTCTCAGCCTTCTCTTGTGGAGGCTGAACAGGTTCAGGTCCCTTAGCCTTTCCTCGTAGGACCTGCCCTGCTGTCCCTTGACCATGCGAGTGGCCCTCCTCTGGACCCTCTCGATGCTGTCCACATCCCTCTTAAAGTGCAGCTCCCAGAACTGGACGCAGTACTCCAGCTGCGGCCTGACCAGTGCCGCATAGAGGGGGAGGATCACCTCCTTGGTCCTGCTTGAAATGCATCTGTGGATGCACGACAAGGTACAGTTGGCCTTCCTAGCCGCCTCCCCACACTGCCGAGCCATGTTCATCTTGGAGTCAATAATGACTCCAAGATCCTTTTCCACCTCCGTGCTGAAAACAGGGGACTTCCCCAGTCTGTAGGTATGGTGCCGGTTGTTCCTCCGCAGGTGCATCACCTTGCACTTGTCTGTGTTGAACCCCATCCTGTTCTCCTCCGCCCATCCTTGTAACCTGTCAAGGTCCGACTGTAGCCTGTTGCTCCCTTCTATTGTGCCCACATCCCCCCACATCTTGGTGTCATCAGCAAATTTGAACAGGGTGCTTTGCACCCCCTCATCCAAATCACTGATGAAGATGTTGAACAGGGCGGGCCCGAGGACCGAGCCCTGCGGGACCCCACTGCCCATGTCCTTCCAGGCCGAGAAGGACCCATCCACTACCACCCTCTGGGTGCGGCTCTCTAGCCAGTTGGTGACCCATTGGACTGTGTGGGTGTCTACGCCACAGTCCCCCAGTTTCCTAATGAGAACGGGGTGAGAGACAGTGTCGAAAGCCTTCCGGAAGTCCAGGAAGACTATATCCACTGCTACCCCTGCATCCAGTGATTTAGTGACCTGATCGTAGAAGGCCACCAGGTTGGTCTGACATGACCTGCCGCTGATGAACCCGTGCTGGTTGCCCCTGAGCATGCATTTCCCTGCTGGCCCCTCCTGGATGTGTGCCAGAATAATTTTCTCGAACAGCTTGCCCAGGATCGAGGTAAGACTGACTGGCCTATAGTTTCCCGGGTCCTCCTTCCTCCCCTTTTTGAAGATGGGAACCACGTTGGCCCTCTTCCAGTCTTCCGGCACCTCTCCAGAGCACCACGAGTGCTCATAAAGCTGCGCCAGGGGACTCGCGATGACCCCGGCCAGTTCCTTTAGAACTCTAGGGTGGAGATCATCCGGACCGGCTGACTTAAAAACGTCCAGCCCCTCCAGCAGCTCCCTAACTAGATCCTCACTTACCCTGGGCTCAGGTGTGCCTCCCTCGGGGCCCGATGGGGGCCTAGCAGGGAGGTGGCAGTTCTGGTCCTTACTGAGGAAGACAGAGGCAAAGAAATCATTAAATATGTTGGTTCATGTCCCTCTGTGGGTAGTTTTTGAATGCACACTTTGCTGGGGTTATTTGACCCTTGCAGTCTTTCTTGCCCAGAGCAGGGGGGCTGGACCCAATGATCTCAAGAGATCTCTTCCAGCCCTAAACTTCTGTGAAAATCTGGGGGCACATGCCCCACCATGCCTCCTCAGGGGGTGCGTGCAGTGGCAGGGAGCTGCCCCCTCCCAGTGCAACCCAGATGAGCTGCCTGTGGCTCCGTCTTGCTCTCAGCCCTGGGGTTGCATTAATCGCCCTGGCTGGGCAGCACCTGCCCCTGCCCCAGGGCCTCTATCTGGCCCCCCCCGTACCTCTTTTCCTCACTCCCCCACAGACTTACCAGGAGGACACTGCTCTCCAAGCTGCCGGTCTGCATTCCTGTAAATCGGTTATGGGATTGGTATTGGCTGATATGGCTGGTTAATAATTGGCTATCGGTATCGGCCAAGAAAATCTTATTGGCGTGCCCTCTTTTGAATCTCTTGCCTAGATCGGTGTGAAACGTGTGTAAGTGAATTTGGGTATGTTGGCTGCTACTCAAACTAGCAAATCACAGTTAAAACTAGAAGTCTTAGTTTTTGCTTATACTAATAGTGTGCTGCTGATTGATGTTAATCATTAATTTTCATGCTGAATTGCATTGTTGTCAGATCATATAATTGTAAAATTAAAAGGGTAGCTTTCTTTGAAAGTCTACCTGTGCTTCAGGCAAAATTGAAAGAACTAGTGAAGAACTAAAATGGGGCATTCTGACAACTAACATCGTTTTATGGAAAACAGATCCTGTCAGACTTGAGAGTACAAGTTTGCTTAATAAAATAACTGCTCTACTTAGATTTCTGAGAAGCATTTAAGTTTATAAAGTGCTTTTATTTTTTATTTTTTTGGTCTGTATGTCATGTAGTACTAAATCAAAAAAGTGCGCTTCTGTCAGAGCATTTAATTGTAAAGTGATTATCCCTAGTGGGTTTTTTATTAACGATCATGAAATAATATCACTTCTGGCTGCAGATGACATGCACAGGTCTGTTCTATCAAGGAGTTTGGATCACTGGGTAAGATAGGTTTGCTTGAACAATATAGCATTTTACTCTGAGCCATCTAGCAACAGACTGTTCATGCTTGCAGAATAGGGGACAGTGTCTTGGAAGGCAGTGACAGAACAGAACGAGAGCTCATGGGTTACCAGATGAATGTGAGCTAATGCGGTGCAGTGGCTGAGAGCCAACATGAACCCTGGATGAGAAGTAAGTAGGTGAATGTCCAGTAGAGGTAAAGGCAGAGCTGCAGACAACATTATTGTAAGTGCTTCTAGAGCTTCAGTAAAAAACAGTAAAGGTTTAGGAGAAAGTGACGTGAATTTTTGTCACATTCTGGAATATGTGCTTTACATGGCGAGACTTACTGTGTCTTGGATAAAACAGTTTGACAAGAGATTACTTGATTATGGGGAAGAGATTTTTGAGTAGGCAGCTCTTTAGCCTAACTGAAAAAGGCATAATAAAGCTGTGAAAACTGGAAACTTTGAAGCTGAAGCTAGACACATTAAGACTAGAGCAGCTGGAGGTTTTTAACGATGAGGGAAGAAGTTAACCCCAGGAACGACTTAAATAGGAATGCAGTGGTGTCATTCTGACTCAGGTCCCTACACCAAGATGGGAATGCCTTGCGTAAAAGATGAGCTTTACTTCAGTTTAGGGCTATGGGCTTCATACAGGAACTATTGGGAAATGTAATTCCAAAGCTGCCTTCTACGATGGTTACTTGTTAGTGAAGCAGTTCAGTAAATTCACCAAAAAAACTCCTTATTTTACACCTGCCTTGCATTGGAGATTGGGATTTTCCACCTGTCGACCCAAATCTATGGAAGATGCGAGTGGATTGTGGAGAGGGGAATAATAAATGGATGTGTCAGCCCCATTTGGCTTTTTCCTTGAAATCAATGATTATCTTTTCTGCACAGATACCTGTTGGTGGTTTAATATTCTGATCCTGATTATAATATCCCTTCTCCTTTGGTAGGATAACTGGGATGATGAGGAGGAAGAGGAGGAGGAGGAGGAGGAAGTAAAAGAGACTGAGGTAAAACAAGGTGAGAACTTTTGGGAGGAGTATATTTCATGATGCGTAGGATGGGGAAGAGTTCTTGATTTGTCTTGTAGTACGTAAACCTGGATTAATGGGACAGAATCACCAAAACATGTTTGGTTTATTAGTGCCAAAAAAAAAAAAAAAAAGCTTTTTATATTGGGCACCTCTGGATTTTGAATTGGAAGATTACCTGTGATGCTTTTCTTCCCTGTTGTGCAATGTTCTTGTTACCTTCAGTGTTGGGGAGAACTTTTAAAGACCTCCTGTTTTACAGAAACCAAAGTTTCAGAAAAGAAGAAAATAGCAGAAAAAATAAAAGAAAAAGAAAGGCAACTGAAGAAAAAGCAAGAGGAGATTAAAAAAAGGGTAAGGTGTTCTTCTCGGCGTCTGGATCCTACCTTCCTGTGGGAAACGGGGGACCAGCGGTCGTGGGGCAGTGAAACAACTTCTGTTGTTTTGTCCCTGGGATGTGTAGTCAGTGGTCCTCTGGGGGACCTTCACCCTGATGCATCCTCCCTGAGGCCTGAACCATCTGGGTGCTTAGCAAGAAAGGTTGCATTTCAGGTGGCTCTGCTTCAAACAGAAGTACACTGCCCAGTTAGCTAGGAGAAATACCAGCATGGAAAAATCCCTCGCATTTTACCACAGCAGTGCTCACATTAAACGTAATGTGAACTGACATACGAGGACCCTCAGTTCTGTAGATCGGTTTTGGTAACTGTCTGTAATGAATCATTTGTAAGCAGAAGATTGCCAAGAGTTTTGAATGACAGTCTATTTTTGTACATATATGTGCATATTTAGTTAGAGGTACCAGAGGAACCTAAAGAACTCACACCAGAAGAACAGGTAGCAGATAAACTACGGCTAAAGAAATTGCAAGAGGAGGCGGATCTTGAATTAGCAAAAGAAACATTTGGTAAGTGTGCATACAGCTGAACCCACCCAAGAAGTTGCTTGTGTGGTGTAATACCACAGGTAGTATCTGCTGCTAGGAATTTCCAGCAGGCCTCACCGCCTCACTGAACTTTCCAGTCAGTAGCTGCATTGTATAGAGTAACACATGAAAGAAACTACTCATTTCTAATTGCCTGTGTTGCTCTTCAGAAATGCTGTCGGTCTGGGTGTGGCTCAGCATTAAATATGTTAATAAGCTAGGTGCTGAAAAAGCAAGTACAGTTGTGGAACAGGCAGATACAAAAGAACAGTAGGCTTAATTAGGTTGGGGAACTCGTTGTGTTTGCCAGTTCTCTCAGTGAAGCACACGGTACAGGTTGTTTTGGCTGTGCTGGTTTATGGTTGAGGAATACGCTTGTTTGAAAAATACACATTCACATTTATTTAGCTGAACCCTTGTTTTCTGAGATGGCGGGACTCTTCCCTATGTCATTTTAGCTAGTGTCTGCAGAAACCATCCAGTGGGCGTTTGATTTGAGGATGGAAACCACAGTCCAGATACTAATTGTCAATTAGAGGGGAAGCGTCCAACTAATTTAGTGCTGAGCTTGAGGCCTGCAATTCCTTACTTAAGGGGAGAGACAATACACTGAATACTACAGTGGATAGTTCAGATTACATATAGGATAAAGTTTCGCCCCAGAATCACGTACAGATCCCATGTAGCTTAATGACTGTGGTTGTTTAAGTGAGTCGTGCATGGCAGAGCCAAACAGGAAATGAGTGGGCAGGCACAGCTCAAGTTTCAGTGATGCTGCTTCAGTAGGGACAAGAAGTGGAGTGCGAGTGGCGATTGCTTACCTTGTGGCTAAAGGACCTGCCCAGTGTGGCCTCGCAGTTCTTGCACTAGACCTTCCCCTGATCCTTTTGTCTTTCCTTGCAGGTGTAAATAACACTTGTGGAATAGATGCCATGAATCCATCTTCAAAAGACGACTTTACGGAATTTGGCAAACTGTTAAAAGAGAAAATTACACAGTATGAAAAATCATTACATTATGCCAGTTTTTTGGAAACATTAGTTCGAGACGTATGTATTTCATGTAAGTTTAATTTGAAAGGGATTTCCTAGCACATGGCTCCATTGCTCCAGGAAACAGAATAGGGCCAAATTTGAAAACATGTTAATCGAGTAAAACATGAAATGTGACTTACGTGGTATTATATTAAATAATGTACCCATCTGATTGACCATGCTTTACTAGCTTTTGACTAGCTAAGAATCAGGCCTCGTATATCTTTTTAAAGGAGGTTTCTATTAATCCTTTCCATGTGGTGGTACCCATTTGGGACCACTTTTTAAACGCAGGTGAATTCTGTTTTGATCTAAACCTTGTACAGACCTACAAAAGTCTTTTAAGAGTGGTGAAACATTTCCCGAGTTGTATAATGCAAGTAGGTCAGCGGGAAAGGAAAAGGAAATTTCCAGTGTTATGTGAACTCAGTTTGGGAGCAGTTTGTGTTTTGGAATTCAAGAGTTAACTACACTGAAACACAGCTATAGTTTGCTTCACAGTTGACTCATAAAATGGATGGTAAACTTGGCTTCTATTTGCATTTCTTGATTGGCTGAGATTTGGTCCGGGAGTATTTTGAGATGTCTTGTCTTCCTATGTTTATATGTACTGTCCTTCAGAGTGAACAAAGGTGTGATCCTGAACGTCCACTTTTCCTGGGTGCCTCAATTTCCCAGAAGCCTTCAAACACTCTGCCCCGTTACAGACCTCTGGGAAAGGCTTAAAGTGCTCCTCAGCCCGTGCTCCACTGTTAGACTCCCATATTAACTAATTCTTTTAAACAAAGTTTTAACAACTTTACATTTTAGTACATATAAGTTATGTGTCGTGGGATTATGAACTACTGGACTCTGGTTCTGAGGATTCAGATTGCCCGTGGGGGAACTCTGCCATTTTCTGTTCAATTTTGGGATCAAAATCTGCAATTAACCTTACCTTTTTGGTGATATGATGATTTCCTGAAAACAATATTGGTTTAAAAAAAACCCCTTTCTCTCTTCCTAATGTAGTGGAAGTTGATGATTTGAAAAAGATCACAAATTCTTTGACAGTGCTATGCAGTGAAAAACAAAAACAAGAAAAGGTAAGACATCTGCTTCTTCCTAACCATACGAATTTTTTGTAACTTGTTTAATCCCCATGTACACTGTACAGCGTGGCCTTTGTAAAAATTGGGGGTGAGGTGAGGAGGGAGAGGAGTCCTGTATTTCAATTAAAATAAATTGAATGTTAATGAGACATGAACTGGAAGTTACAAATTTGGGTCCTAGGCCTAAATTTGAATCTCATAAACTTAAAAAAATTCATGTTTAAAGTGAACAGTATTTTGCCTGTATCTTGCCCACCTCTCCTCTCTGCACTAATTTTGGGGTATAGATTGTTTGCCAGTGCTCAGGAATGGCGGGGAAGCCCCAGATCTTCAGTTAATGTTTTTGTAGAAATAATTAAAAACCTTTGAAGTCAGTCTGTAGCAAAAACTAAGATCAACAATGGTCAGTGATATAAGCAGCAGGTAACAGCTACCTAGTTCTCTTAAATTGTGGTGTTTCTCCAAAGAACCACATGACTTGTGAAAAAGGTATGGGAAAAAAGTGACAGCATTGTACCGAAACATAATTGTTTCCTTCTGCGATTCATAAATTGTAGAGAAATATTTTATGTGCAGAAGTTTACAAGGAGTGGGATAATGACTTGTAAAATCCACTTAAACGCTGGGTAAGCAAACACGTTAATTGTCAAATCCAAGCCATGCTGTCTAGGATACAACTGAAATTACACCATTTCAGTACCTGTATGGGGGAGTCTGAGAAGGAAACCACTGTGCGCCAGCTGTAATCCATATTCTGTAAACAAGCGGCTGTTGTTGCATGTGATCCAAATCTGGCAGGTGATTGGAGAAAGGGAAACTTTCTGGGCACAACCTATTTTAATAGCAACTTTGCATGTTCATAAACACATCCTCCACTGACAGCTGGTAGCCTGCCAGGGAAAATGAACTTTGCCATAAAAATCTTTCAACGGAAGACTAAACCTTCTCTTGCCTGAAGTTGATATATTGAGTCTGGAGCTTGAGGTCTGTGATATTGAACTGACTGCACGTTTCTAACAGAAGTAGACTTTAGAAATACAAGCTTTTTTCTACGTACAAAGCTGATGCAGTGGTATTCTGAATGTAGTTTTCTTGTGCTTTACTACTGTGTTTTTTAGCATTCGTAGCTGCATTTCACCCAATCTTCAGTCTTTTAAATTTTGTTCTTAAAAATGTGGACTCTGGATATCTTTGGATCCAAAACTTACTCTGTTCCAGTTCTGGCCTCTCTGCTGTTGTATCCATTCAAAAAGAATTTCCCAAAGCTGTTCAAAGTAGTATGCAAGAAATTGCCTGCTCCTCAGTTTAGTAATATACAGTACCATCACCTGACTACTTTAAGAGTATTGTTAGAAAACATATTTAGTGTTACGAACTTGCCTCTAATACATTATTTCTGCAAATTATCAGACTTGAATTTCAGGTTAGCTTACCTTATAACCAAAACGAGTGCGCACAGGCAGAATTATTAATGTGTAAAGGACAAGAGCCTGTGACTAAGATTTCACCACCTTTTCCCCTGGAAGGTTTTGGACAACTCTGCTTGGCAGCCATATAAAAGCCCTAAGAAAATGATTCCCTCTAATTAATTCAGTAACAGTACAACATTAGACACCTTACACTTGGATTTACTTAGTGTGTCTCCTTAGCTCCAGCCATGTTGTGCTGAACATGCTGCTATTTTGATTAATGAGGCCACTCTTCGGGAAGGTAGAGGAAACCCAGAAATAGCATGGCTTTGCCATGAGTAAGTTAATGTGAACTGAGATGCAGTTGCTTCTGTGGTAGGAGTCAGCAGCACCATTATATGAAATGCAGGGCAGCTGACAACCATGTTCACCTTCTATCAGATCAGAGTTGGGGAACTGAAATAAGTTAAATCTGGTTACCCATGCACTTCATCATCTCTTCTCAGAAATATTGTATGCTGTTAATGTGAACTCTTAAGTAAATTAAAACATTTTTGGTCCTTCCTCAGCAAAGTAAAGCCAGAAAGAAGAAAAAAGGAGTTGTGCCTGGAGGTGGTTTGAAGGCTACTATGAAAGATGACCTGGCAGATTATGGAGGATATGATGGAGAATATGTACAAGACTTTGAAGACTTCATGTGACATTTATCTTCCCTTACATCTTTCTGTTGCCCGTAATCCCTTAAACATGTAGCATAATTTCTTTTCCTTTAAATTCTGCCAAATGCTACAATCAAAAGTGCAGTATCTCTGTGCTGGTTATTTAACCCTTTGACACATTGGTGCTAAAGCATTGGGATACCTGTCTGCCATGGGGTTAAAAGGAAGAAACTCAATATCTACATAAATCACAGTACAATTAAATTCTAATAATGTTTTACTTGTTACTATCTGGTTTCATAGTAACAGCCACTAAATTGGAAATGAATTTCAACACAGCAAAAGTTGTATTATTACCAGCACAGTTCAGTAACGCAGCCTTAACTGTACCTCCTTGAATGATTTATCTTGTGAACAAAAGCAGTTTGCAGCAAGGGTGTGGTGTGCACTTAGTATTAAAAATGCTTTGTCTATCGAGTTAAGAGCTTGAGGTTTTTCATAGGTTTGTGAAGGGGCCTGCTAACTTCAGAGTAAGGATACTGCACCTGAAAACACATCACCCACTGTTATTTCAAAGCTTGACATCCAGAACAGAACAAGGAAACAGTTCCTTAATTGCATTTGAAAAATGACTTGTATCTCGAGTATAAGCGATTTCGTTTACATTCATCTGAATATTTCTACTAATACAGCTGTACAGGTTCTTTAACAGTTAACTGCCTGGTTTAAGTGTCTGAGAGAGATTTCCTTTGTTCTCATGGGTTGTGTAGATCTTTTCATGACTCTGCCGTTTTCTTTCATTTACAAAAAAAACCAAACTGCTTAGCAAACTGCAACAGTTACTACAGTTGGGCAAATTGTTATGTTAACAATTATGACATCTGCAATGTTTTATAAAGCAACTAATTTAATAAAATCACTATTGTGAGGACTTCACAGCCTGTGTTATAGGAGCACTTATTTGAGTGCTGAGTCCATGCAGGAGGGCACAGCTCCATTGGTCCAAGTGCAATGTCCTCAGAGGATGAGCCAATTTGCTTGATTTAGGCGACTCGTAATACTGTCACTTTATTTCTAAATGCTTAATGGTCCATGACGGCTAATTTCCAATGCAGGTGGTGTCTGTCAGGTAGACAGGGGAGGTGAGTGGCAATATTAAATGTATTTTTTTTGTAATCATATGACATATGTACCTGTGTTTGATATACTTTATTCAGGGGAGTTATCCAGAAAGAAAATCGTGAGATGCAGCCTTGGCTTGATACGTGCTTGTAGCCTCAGCACCTGTAGTAGCTGCCAGATATGGAACGGCCACAGTCTAGATTTTGAGGAAGCATGCTCTTAATGAGTAACCTGCTCGTGGGGGCCTCATATGGTCATTAAATCTGACCATGATGAGAAGCTGAAGATGTTAACAGAGTAATTTCTGCAATGAAAAGAATTCTTCCCGTGGCATTGAATGTTGAGTCGAGTGAACTAGAATATTGCTAGAAGAGAAGCTGGTGAATATTCCTTGCTTTGACTGTCATGATCCAGTACCAAGTGAGGAGGGCTGGGCACATTCACAACTCTAAAAATAGAAGTTTAGACCCACAAATGGACATTGCCTATCGAATTCCACACACTGGCCTTGTTAGACGCTTTCTCTCTAACTACAAAGATGGTAGGTGGAGCTAGAATAAACTGGTCCCTTTTTAAGCTTGAGCGAGTTTTGAATAAGGGATGGCTTCTCTTCCTGCTTTTAGTTTTTTGTTCTTTGAATTTATTGGTTCATTAGCTTTAATGGCTGTCTGGTTTTAGTGCTGTACAGTACTTAGCAAGTAGCTGGTTCTAAAAACTGAATGAATTTTGTGTTTTACAACTAAGACCAACACAGTGAACTGCATGAAGTGACTGACAGTTGAGGCTGTTAATTTACACTTTTTCAATTTTATTTTCACAATAAAAGCCAAATAAAGTTTGGCCAGGCCTTACCGATGAAGCTAACAACACCTTGTTGCAAAATTATGCTCAAGAACCTGAATTCTTACTATACTACTTCTACCATTCATGGTACAAGTACGGGTTCTGCTGCAAAAAGTAGACCTCTTAAAAAAAAAAAAAAAAATCTTGCTTTTAGTTTGAGGATGATAAACTTGAAGTAAAGGAAGTGTGAAATAATATCCTGTGTTCACAAGCCTGCCATCACCACCTATTTCAGTTAGAAAAACAGCTAAAGATTACACTCCTTCACCACTGTCAGTTGTAGCAGAAACAGCTGGCTGTGTTTTGCAATCCTTTTGACAGTGCAGTTTTTCTTTAATCTACGGTATGTCAAACTACAGGATAACTCCTCTGTTTACGTTCATCTGTACTGAAGTCCACGGGGCGTACTCACAAACTTAGTTACACCCATGGGCTGCAGGACTTAGCATCTTGGTTTGATAGAGTTGTTGTTGCAGTGTAGGTAATACACATCCTAGAGCCACGGTTCTTCCCATTGCATTAAATGAAGTAGCAGATATCTAGCTCCCATCCACTGCGCTGTATATAGGACTTTCAAGGAAGTATCTTCTTTGCCAGTGTCTGGTGGCATGCTGAGCTGAACTCCCAGCTGGCCAACTGCTGAAGTTGTCACTTGCACACTGGGTTGGTTGGAAGCTTTTCTGTTTGCATCGAGACAAATATATCACTAGATGCTGGTCTTCCAAGGTAGATAGCAGCATTCAACCTAAGTCACACCCTACACAACCCTATTCTCTTTGAGCACAAAAATTGTCCCACCTCTTAATCATTTTTAGAACAGCTTACTTGCAGTTTTTTAACCAAAGCTTTGGTCCAGATTTAGATGCCCTGGTTCCCCAAGAACACGGAGCTGTCCCCTAGCAATTGTTGGAGCTTCACATCTGTTCTACATTCACTGTCTTTTTTTTTTGCAAAATATGGGCAGTAGTAGCAGGTGATAGCATCCCTTTATACCCAAGAGACCAGTGATTACATTTACTGTTGGAAATCTCAGTAGAAATCCTTTGCCTGCCTGAGGAACTCTTACCCATCGTGGCCTCCTGACAGAGGACTCTTTATTCTTTGTCAAACTCTTCCACTTTGCAAGTACTGTCAAAATTCAGGGGCTATGGGATATGACAACCAGACATTTGACCATCTTCAGGAGTTGTTTAGGTGCATAGTGCCTATGCCAGAAGGTTGAAAATTATTCATTTTACAATTCAAAACAGAGCAAGACAACTATATACTAGGAATAGAAAATTTATTAGAGTTCAATACTGTGCCTGCACAAATACAAATTTCACTTTAATGTAGTAAACTCTCTTTTGTTTCATTACTTAGAGTGCCCAGGATCAACCACTTACCCCTGGTAAATACTGATCTGATTGGGACTATAAACAGTCCATTCTTGCCGTGGGCCATGGTACAGCACTGCTGCAGACCTTACATCAGGTTGAAGTTAACTCACTTGTGTGTAGCAATGGAGGAATGTCCTTTGAAGGTTTTGGAGCAAGCCAAGAGACTAGCATGAACACTGCGAGTTTTGATGGCATTCCAGGGCCCGGGAAGGTCATTTTGATCATAAATAAAAAGCAGTTATAAATGTTTGATCGTGTGCTCAGTTCAAGCATACCATCCAAACAACAATTCTACGACAGGACAAACCCTTCTTAGCATTTGTGAATTTTTTTCAAGTGAGGCTTGGATGCTGTTCCTACTCAAGTCAAACCCCCTACATCTCTGTTAGCCAAACGGGTCATTGTGGACTGACTGGCAATTAAAAGCCCAGCAGGTTTTGAGAACACAGCTTCAGGGACATTCAAAACAAGGCTGAGATTCTTCTGGTAACCCTCATGTAGCAAAATTGCAATCTTATCCCACATAACTTAATTAAACAGGTGAGCTAAAGATAAGTTAGTCAGACATGATTAGTCTGTTAAAGAAATCATGTAACCAGCACAAGTCATGGGACTGCTGCCAGGTAGATTCTTCATCTCTCAGCATGGAGTCTAATTTGCCAGCATGTCATTTAGACAGCAGCCAGTCTGGGCATCCTTCAGAAGCATATTTACCACATCATAGAACTTGTTATCATATGCCAATCTGTAGTACAGATAGATGTCTTCGCAGTAGGTCAGTAATTTCTTCAGGTTTTTCAGAGCAGCCTCAGTCGGCTGGTGCTGTTTGAGCCTGAAATGGAATTTCACGTTGCATTAGAAGGGGAGAAAGGGCATCAGTCCTTGTAGAGAGAGAATTTCGGCTCTCTCATGGGATCCTAGGGAAGTAGGGGCCTCATGAAGCTATCTAGTCTAGCCCCTGCTCAGGGCAAAACCATCCCTGACTACACCATCCCAGTCGAGCGTCTTGGGACTAGGGAGCAGAAGAACTCAATGGGAAGGTGGGAAACAGCCTGGGCATGTTCTTAGAAAGGGATCAGGTTTTGCTTCTCTACCATCACCTAGAGGGTCAATTGTTTGAAAATAAGGCACTTTAATAAAGAATGCAAACTGACTAGTATCTAAAGCAGTGATTCTCAACCAGGGTGCCCATGGATCTTTTGAAAGGTGCCATAAAGGTGTGAAGAGATAAGCTAAGTAGATAAAAGCAGGCTCAGGGTTGAGCCCTACCTGAATGATTGCCCAGCCCCTCTGCAAGAGGGTAAGCACTGCAATATATACATTTGTTTTTGAACCTGGTGCTATAGGATTCACAAAAGTTATTCTGGGGTGCCTTGAGTCCAAAAAGGTTGAGAACCACTGATCTAAAAAGTCCCAAGCTCTGCTGGATTTTCTATCACATTAACAGCCTGGACTGAAGACCAGCACCACCCCTTACCTGTGCCCACGTGTGGAAAGTACCTCAGTGCCACACACAGCGCATAGATCCTTCCCCCAGGAGCACAGAGGGGTCTGGAGAACTGATGTTGCTGCCACCCCCTCACTGCTTTTGAGCAACAGCCGAAGTCCTTCACATCCCAAACTCATCTGACTGCCTATGCTAGGTTTAGTAATGCTATCACTTTTACTGACGGGGAAAACAGAGGCTTTAGGTAGCTCGCTGACCCTCCCGCAGGAAGTCTGTGGCACAGGAATTCGACTTCAAGCAGCACACGACCCACCTGACATACCTTCCCCGCTGCAGCAGAGCAATCGGCACATGTGCCAATTGCTTTCTCAACACTTCTGAGTCGTTCTAATCTTACAGAAGGTAGGTGCAGACTGGACTAGACTCTGCCAACACGCCCCTGAGGTGCAGTGCAAAGAATACAGATGAAGATCTAAGCCAGGTTTAACCATGCAGTTCTGAAAAGCTGGGTATGTGAATGTCTTCAGCACTGTTGAAATAAATGAAGTCTGTACCTGCAACTAGAGCTGCTGGAGGCTGCTCTTCCCCAATTAAGCCCAAGGAGTTATCGTCTCTAAGCAAGTATTTTAGAATTTGTTTAAAACCACGCTTTCTGAAGATGAAAAGGAATTTGGGCTGTAGAAATACTTACTTTTTAGCAATCTCCTCAAACACATTCGCTTTGAGTAACCTTTGTTGTTTGAATTCTTCTAGATAATTGAAGTCACCTTTAATAATCACTTGCTGATACAGAACTTCAGCCCAGTCTGGAACAAAGTCATAAGCCTCAGCCACGATAGCAGCCTAGGAGAAAGAAAGATTCCCAGAAATTACTGACTAGGTTGGGTTGTAATTAAGCTGTTTGCACTGGTAAAAGCTTTTCAGCCACGAGGGTTCTTCCTGCTTTTATATGTCCTCTGGCAAAAAATGCAGTCACGGCTTTGGGTCCTGCCCCTGTATTGCGTTTACCCCCCAAGTCATCCTTCGAGGGAAATGCAGGAGGCACTATGAAGTATAAGAAAACAAGGTAGGAAATACTTATGATGGGCAGTAAAGAAACAGAGGACAGAAAATTAAGGCCTAGAAAATCTGATCTGAATAGGAACTTTGAGTAGTTTGGGGCCCTAAGAGTAGGGAGTGGAGAGGAAGGAGGTGGCCCCGACATGTAACAGGCTGCCAGGATACCAGAGTGCTTTTTAAAAACATGGAGAAAAAAAGACAAGGCGGAGCAAGGCACTGAAGACCTAACGACAAGAACCAGGTGCCATACAAAAGGAGAATGCTTTGTCTGGAGAACTGATCTTTGAATCTGAAAGCCAAAGAGGCTGACTATTTAGGATGCTGCTGTGGCTGCAGTAGTAACGAAGCCATTTGTTCTCTGTAACTAAAGTCCCCCTTTGTTTCTGCGGAACTGCTTTCTCTGAATGAGCTGCTTCAAGTGAGTCAGAGGAGTTGAGAAAACACCTGTTCCCACTGCCCGCCTGTCCAGGTGCTGATCTTGCTTGCCTGTAACTTGGTCACCACCAGCACCTGGCTTTATTCTCAGTCCCTGAGGCAGCATTTCACCTTGGGAGTCTTGGCAGTGTCCCCAGGACAGCAGGAGCACGCAGCTTCTCTCACTCAGCCATTTACCTGGTAGAACCTGGGCAAGGACATGATGCAATCCATGAGGCGCTGTCGGTTCAGGTTGATCAGCATCGTGCTCTGATTAGTGTTCAGAAAATGAAGCTGGAGAGTTATCAATTTTGTCAGTCTGTTGCAGCGTAAGGACTGGCGGACACAGGAATCCTAGAGTCAAAAAGAAGCAAAACCAAGCTCCTAGAATAACGTTCCTACAAGGAAGTCAGGATGCCAGTTCCTGAGCAAGGGTCTGCAGGCTTTGGAGCCTGTCGGTACTTTGCCTTGTAAACCACTGCAGCTTCTCTCATCACTCAGTCTGCCTGGCCGTATTCTTATAAGAAGCTCCACCCATCAAATGACGTTCACTATAAAAATCGAAGCCAGCCCGCAGCACTGTCACCACTCCTACTTTAACACTACTAGTCCAGCACCAAGTCAACTTGGTGCTGGGCTCCCTCTCCTCCTCCATTCCCCCCTGAGATGTTAAGAACTGATCAGGGAGCAGTGCGCGGTCCGTGACTGAGTGATCATTTTGTCAGCCAGGTTGAGAGTCGCTGCCTCTGCACCAGGATCTTTTGGTGCTGCACTGCAACGTGGCACATCCCAGGCACTGTTTCAGGTCGGGATGGCTCCTCATGGGTCACCCCCAAAGAGATGCTACTGGCCGTTCCCATTCAACCTAAAGCCACTTCTGACCCCTCCTTGGCTGGCACCGAAAGCCAACAAAGCCTGAATTCCATGCCAGCTCACCTTGGAATAACTTTCTGCTGCATCAATAAAGAGAGTCAGAGCTTTCATCAACAGTTTCTTTAAATTTGGCACATCTTGGAGAGACTCTTCTGAAATGGAAAGAGATGTGAAACAAGGACCCAAGGCGCGTATAGCTACAGGGCACAGCACACCCCAAACAAGTTTTGTAATGCATTTAAAATCTGAAACTAGTCACTTCTAGCGGTAACAGACCACAACGCACCAATTCTAGCCCCACACAAGACGCTGCTCTGCAAGGCATAGACAAAACACAAAGCCATGGTAGGAACCCAATCAAAAGTTCTGAAGGCAAGTCTGCAACTTCCACGCGCTTTGGTCAGCCAACCAGGTCAAGAAAACATTCAGCATAACTTGTCTTCGATCCCTTGATGACACTGGCTTGTGTTCCAGAGCAACTCTTGAGCGTATATTAACAACCTCTGCAGCAGCAGGACATTGGCTGCCACAGTCCCCCTGCAGGTTCAGGAGTTATGTCTTGTGTCAAGGTGGACTTGTCTTGCTTAGAGGTTAGCCAGTGGATCTGTACAGGACGGTTTGGACAGGGCTGATCCTGCCTCAGGCAGAGGTTGGACTAGATGTGACCTCTGGAGCCCCCTTCCAGCCCCACGGCTCTATGATCCTATGAACTCCCAACATGCACCATTCACTGTGGCATTAGGGGCAGAAGTAAAGCACCCTTTAGGCATCCATGCAGCCTGCTTAGGGAGGTTTACTGTTGCACCACAAAAGTTCAATTTTTTGAACACTGCATAAATGCAGATCAGCATGGGTGTAGCTACATCAGTGGTGGTAAGGGGTGTTCCAGCAGCACAGGTACCAGGAACCACCATGGCTTTTTGGAAGAGGAAAGCAGCCAGACATAATGTGCTGTCAGAGAAGAGCCCAGCACTTAGCTAGTGGGACCACGCAATGCACCTTACTGAAGCGGAAGGGACTTTAACACTGCAGCCACTAGGACAAGCCATCAGAAGGGTATTTCCCAACCATACCTCTATGTATGCAATGATCCATGATGCCTTCAAAGAAAAATGTTGGATTTGGCCAATTTCCGATCACGCACAGCAATCCAATGTGTTCCTAGAAGCTACGTGCAAACATTCACGTAGTCTTGGTTCCAGAACTTCCACTCACCCCAAGGCTGAGATTCAATGAGTTTCAGCTGTATACAGGCAGCTGCTTCATGATTCTCTCCAATTTCTCGACACATGCTGAAGCACAGGGCTATCATGTTGTGCTTTTCGCTGTCCCCCGGGCGACAACGCTTTATGTAGTCTAGCAGAGCTGTCTTCAGAGTTCCACTCTGTCAGGAAGGACCAATATCGAGACAGATACTTGAGGAGTTTAGATTTGCTTTGCATTTTGGGGTTTGCAAACAAAACAAAATCCTGTACAATTTTCAAGCAAGATCACCATGCTATCTTGAGTCTCCTTTATACACTTCAAAACGTAATGGGAATATAACTGAAGTATTACAGATGTAAAATAAGCTATTGATTAGTTTTCATAAATTTGCTGCTATCTGGCAGGTAAGTGTCACCAATTTTAAAGTCAGCAACCTCTGATATTAAATGTCCAATCACACACAAAATATACGGAGGCCTCCAAGTTTCTGCCTGCTGAGGCCAAGTGAAATGGTTGCAATTTTTTTTGTCAAAAAATGATCATTAAAGAGCATGGCCTGTTTTGAGACCGTCCAAACTGTTTAACTAACTATAGGAATCTCTTTATAATCTTAATAGAAGAAAGAAAAAAAAAATGGTAAAAAGATTTCATTAATAAATGGTGGGTGAAAACAAATCACAACTGAAGACATGCAGTATAGATTATAATTTGAGTATAGGTAAAATAAAAGCTTCCTAGATACTGTCAACGACAGATTAAAGTTTACCTGTCTAACGCATGAACACGTGTGTGCGTGCATGCACATGCGCACACCGCCCCCACCCTTTGTTGTTTCCCCTCCACCATCAGACCTACCGGGTCTAATTTTTTTCTCATCAGCACTTCAAAATAATGTTTCTCATGCAGCAGATCAAATATGTACGTCATTTCGTTATATCTGCCAATGCCAGTGAGGAGCCGGACCTTTAGAGAGAAAAATATGAAGATCAGTGTGACATGGGAAAACCTGCCTTTGCTGTAGGGTTAGTCTATGCCAGTTTAAATAAAGGTCAAAGGATCACCATTTCTAAAACAAAGATATCTAGCAAACACCAGCCATGCAGGGAGCTTTTTAGCCCTCTCTAGCGATTCCAGGCTGGAAGGACATCTCATGTCATTAACATGGTACATCTTCACTCTGGAGGCCTTCTGGAGGCAGTGAAAGGAGGTGCCTGCTGGCTTTGTAATGCGAACTACTTCGTTTAGCAATATGTGATCACTAAAACTCCACAAGCTAGATCTCCTCTTCAGTCTGCTGCAGCTTCTGCCATTTCTCCGGCAAGCTCCGTCAACTGGCCAAAGGATGTGGACAGCTGGCCACCTGCAGCTGACTATCAAACCGAAGAGCCATCATAAGGATAGCTATTTTTGGTCTATAGATCTAGGTTAGGCAAAACAAGTGACCTAGAAATGAAAATCTTTGCATCTGGATGCTAATTCCAGAAGCCACCTGGGCTCCCTGATCTTTTATGGTGTATCATCTTGTGCCACTGTTGCATGGAGAGCCTTTTACTGAGCTGGGGAGGAAATGGGGCGCGGGGGATTAGGGTATGACAGCTACATACCACAAGGCTGTACTCCTCATTAGGCGCCAAGTGTTCATCCGTGAGAAGCCGAGCAGCCTGCAGGACTCTAGTAATTCCTTCCATATGACACGTCAGACTAAAGCAATTATGGGCCAAAATCAGCAGCTCTGTAGCTAAAGAACAAGAGAATCCAAGTGCTTCAATAATAAAATGACGAAACAAGTGGCTGCATTTTTTAAAGGTGGTGCCAACTCTGCAAATGATTTGGAACTTTTCTAGTCACAGCGAGACTGAACTGAACATGTCAGGCATTACACCTGAGCAGCTTTATAGGTCACAGCTTCTGTAACTGCACACAGAGTCAAGTCTGGTCTTCTACTCTGCTTTACAATCTGGTCCCCTGGATTATTTTCTGCCAGGTTAATACCATGCGTGAAAGGAAAAGAAACTGCCTGACAAATGCACAGTCAATTGCCTCCCTCTACCTACCCTGCTACACCATCATGCCAAATCAGATCTGTTTTAAATGATAAAGCCTGAAATTCCACATCTGTTTGAAGACCCCTCTCCTAACTTTGATCTACTGAGTGATGTTTAGGATGGACTGAGTTCTCAGAGCCAGAATGAATGGATTAAATGCAGTGAATGTGTTTGTAGATCTCAGAACAGGCAGGTGTTTTGCTGATTAGCATGGCAGGATCCCAAAGCAGAATGCAGCGTGCTTTACACTGGGGCCAAGGTCCTCTCTATGCATTCAGTACTGTAGCACAATGCTCATCACTACTGCAGTCTCTGAAAGTGGGAGGCAAAGGAATTCCCCATATTTTCAAGGGTGTGGGGATACAAAGAGATGGCAGGGACGGGGGCGTGCTCTCTCATTCCAGACCTGAGCAGACAGGATGAGGTGGGAAGCCAGCTGTCCTTTACACACTGCAATTACACAGCTAACCCAATGTCAATGCTGCTTCTCAACCAGTTACGCAGTGAAATTACTATCAAATTTACAAAACCTTTTAAAAATAAAAATCAGTTTTAATATACAATACACATTGGTCCAAGAATAACTCCTGCGCATTTCCACAGTGCAACCAA